TGTATTTGAATCCGTGAATACAACCACCAGACTTTTTCTTTTTATTTCTCTTGCTGAAAAAACTTCGTCTAATGGCACTTAAGAGCTATGATTTCTCCATGACCTTTTTATGTGCCTTTTGGTGCTTATGTATGTTTCTCTTTATGTTTTACTATTTTTTTGCGATTCTTAAGTTCTTCTTCTTTTATTTTCATCGATTTCCCCTCTCTGTATTTTTGCATTTAAAATGCTGCAATCGATTTTGTTGTCTAAGTGCTTGTGAATTTGCGATGTTGAGGAATTCAATTCGTTCTACGAACCCTTTTTTAATTTCAATATTCCAGATGTTATGCAAATTGTTTCTTTTCGTTTTGACAAGATTGAAGACTTCTTGACTATTGAAAATGCATAACATTCGAGTACTGCTATGTTTAATTTGTTGGAGAGTTTGTTGCTGAGTTGATTACTGTAATATTTGGTTGAAAATCTTAAAAATACTTTTTGAAGTGGAAAAAGTCGCCATTATTGTTTTCGTCAAATTTGAGTGAAAATTCAAAATTGTAAATGACAGTTGGGAAATAATTCAAGCACTCAGTTCGTAAGTTCAACTAAATGTTTATCAAAAAGCTTTAAATTTACTGCCATTCAGCTGAAATTCAGATGAGATCAAATAAAACTTAATGCAACAATTTTATGCTTACCATTTAGTTCAGATCTATATGAGGGAATACATTTGACTGCATTTATATGGTGTGGTTTAAAAAAGCTAGAAAGGTCTTAGCATATAAATTTTTATTAAATTGCGAAATTTTCCCAAAGCAGCATGTAGCAGCAACAACAGCTGTAAAAGGGCAATGCTTGCTCAAGGGCTTCATCCATTAATTCTGTTTAGTGTGTCGAATTATTTTCGAGACTGTGACAACATTTTTTCTTTTCTTTCCTTCCTCTTGCTGGTTTGGCATTGAAATATTTGTATTTGTTTGATTAAAGTTTTTTTTTTGTTCCATCTTCTAAAAAATTGCGATTTCACGCTAAATTTTCCCTCCGTACACAATGTAAATTATGAAATCAAAAGCAATTTGATTAAATGTTTCGACGTTTGAAGGAAATTGAGCTCTCAGATTGCAGACTCATCATCTTGTCGATTGTACTCACTTTGTCTGTTACTTGTTACTGAAGAAAATTGATTTACACTTGAAATGAGCTAATCTTTAAAGTTCAAAATCATTTTTGATTTGTGCGATGAAAAACATTTTCTGGGAATTTCTTTAATTAAATTATGTTTGATTGGATCATGCTTGAAAATCGTGCTTTGTTTTTATTCCAATTACATCTAGCGTTTGTTGAAATTAATGTGATTATAGCGAAGTGTTATGATATTGACCTAGACCTTTGATATTAATTTTGAACTAATTTTTATTATCTGAAGACAATTGTTGATGCAGTTGCAAGAGAATTGACTAAAGTCTTTTAGTCTGTGCCTGATATATTCTTCATCAAATAGTCTCAATAACAAGAATATAAACATTTTTCTCCAAGGCTGTCAATTCACACCAGAATTCATGCTTCTTACGCCCTACTTGCATGATTGGCATGTCTTTAGAACTGTTGAGATCACAAGCATTCTTTTCCATCGTTGCATGACAGAAAAATTATGACTAATCAATCGAATAGTGAGTTACCAATGCGGAAAATTCAAGCTAATCTAGTTCTGCAACTGCTTGCCATTCATTACCTTGTCATAACTCATTATTTGCTTCAGCTAAAGACAACTCATTCATGAAGCCAACTTAACAGCAGCCATAAATCTAATCAATGCGCAATTACCTTCAAAAAGTCCATCGACATCTCAAACTTGTCTCATTTCTCGTAATTTTCTTTAAACAACAACTTTAATAATTACTTTTTGAGGCCCATCATCAAGAGAGAATTTAAATTTTTTTTACATTCCGTATAAATAATTTTCTCGCCGTGGTCACTGCTGTGCTGTTTCTTTTTCCCTTCTTCTTCTTTATGTATTTTTTTTGTCAATGCTCACAATTGCGACAGAGCTTTTCCTTTGTTGTTAAACTTTTATTTTATATTTTTTTATGTATATACGTCTGACCTCATTTTCAATTCGATCGGCTTTGATTGAAAATCGAAATAAAATAAAATGTGTTGAACAGAAAAAGGGATTATCCGTAATTAATGTCCAATTTTTAACAGTCAGGGGAGATATGATTTTGGTGTTATATTTATACTAATAATAATTTTTTGTAAGAGAATGGGGAAGATGGCTTTAAATTACATTACTTATGAATGCCCCCTAAAAGAGTTTCACGATCTTTTTTTTATTTCTATTTCATGAGTGATTCTTAATAAGCTCGAGATGGCAAACGAGAGAAAAAAATTGATTGTTCCAACAATTGACAACTTAACATTCTTGAAGTTATAATTGCCAAGACATTTTTTTTTCATTTATTAATTCAATAGATCTTTTCACTTTCATAATTATAATGTCATTTTAATAATAATGTAATGGCACAAAAGCAGTGGAGAAACGGAGCAAATGTGAAGTGTATTGCATGTATGTTGTGAAGACTATAACAAGTCATCAAATCACATTATTGTTTTTTTTCTCCCTTTATTGTTGCTCCATTTTTGGCGCGCTAACGATTATGGACACAAATACATATATTGGAAGGCATAAATACTTCATTTTAAGCGGATTTTTGTAAGTTGATGGTAATGAGCTTATTGGATCAGTTTGTCTTCTGATTTTAAGTTTGTTTTGCAATTTTTATGAGGCTTTTTGGAGCTGTTGTGAAATTTCTTATTGACTTGATGAGGTTTGGTGTTAAAGATTCTTAAATTAATTGTGGATCAAAATTGGCAAGGTTTTTGGGGTCATAAATCTATACTTAATAGCAAAATACATAACTCCTAAGATTCCCTAAACAGACCCTCATTATTCACCCACAAACTTAGTTTACGATTACTTGCATATTCCTGTTCCTTATCAAGATTCAAAATTGTAATAGTTTTTTATTTTGCATATTCAAGTTCCTCTTATCACAGATCGTCGTGTACCATAATTTCAAAAATTTTATTAAGTCATGACTCATTAATATTCTGTTCACGTACGAAAAGGTTAATACTTAAACGAAATACGCTACTTCATTTAATCATGTCGACTTTTTAAACTCATTTTTAAGTTTAACTCTACTACGAATGTGAATGTGATATATTGAGAGAGAATTGCCCAATCTGCAATAATATGACTCGATGCCGACGCCGACACAACAAATAAATGAAGTATAAAGAAAAAAAACGGCAAACCCTACACATGAAAAAAAAAGCTCTCTTTTATGTTCGACTTGCTGTTTGCTACCATTAAATGTTGAACTGTTATGGTCCATTCCCAATAGCACACAAAGAGATCTTAGATTGCTGCACCCAAAAATGTAAATTGAAAATAAATTATGAACTGCTTTTTTAGTCAGTGTGTCATTAGAGCCAAGTCCATGCTCGCATTTATTTATAGTGACTTTATGATTTTTTATTTCATTTTACAGCCCGCTTAAATATTTCTCAAATAAATGCGAATAAAGCTATGTGTAGGGGTGATTCAAGAATGATGTTTGGTTTTTAGGAAATGGAAGGAGGTAGTGGATTTGATTGCGACAGTAACTTAATGATCAATATGATTGCTAAGAAGCTCAGAATGGCTGGCTTAGGGGTTTTGTAACATGGCATAGCGGTCTGTAGCTAGAATCTGTTCTAGACTGCATCTAGGTTGCCGGTTCTGGAACTTTGTTCTTCACTATACTTTAGTGAATAGACAGAAGAAAGAATAAATCATTTTGAATCCTATAGTTTACTCAAACCTTCGACGGACATCATTTATGATCGACCCCATAAGCAGAAAAATACTTAATACACAGAAAAATTTTCTCTCTATCCCTCTGTCATTTATGAAAGAGGTAGAAAAAAAAATATTAAATATAAATGGCATTGTGAATCATGGGAAAAATGAACGGTTACAGGGCTGAGAATGATGAAATTAATCGTGAAGCTTTTTATGGTGCATTAAGTCTTACAACTTTGTATCTATACGAAACATTTTTTTTGCTGGTTCCTACAATACTTCATTCAATTGCTCTTGTCGACAAAAAAATTTGTTATTATTTAATTATATTCGACTGTGTTCTGTGAGTAAATACAAAATTTAGAAGAGTTTCTTGACTCTTCTTACTCCACTTCTTTTTTATGATTTTACATGTAACTTCCGTGCGGGATTTTGAAAGTGATTTGAAGCTTAATTAATGAAGCAAACATATAATTTTGAGGTAATTTTCGTTGTTGGAAATTTTCTCTTGGCTATAATTTTCTTGATTAATTTATACTTAGCATGGCCAGAGGTTATCGCAGAACTTGAACTTCCTGACAATGATTTTTTTTGCTTGTTGAATTATTTCTGTTAAGTGAATTTTTAGACACTGCTGAGTTTTTTAATTACTTTAGTTTAATTATTTTACAAAGATTGAAAAAGTTATTTATTCTGCTGGATATCCTAACTCTTGCAGCTTTTAATAAAGTTGATTGCTGGTAAATTAGTTGAGTTTTTGTAGGAAAAGGTAGATTTTAATACGAACCAAAGTTCGAACTTTCAATCATTACAAAGTGTGTTCTGACAAGAACTCCAACAACATCACAGGAGCATAACAAAGAAATAGCGACTAATCTCAGTTTTAAAATAAACATGACCCAGTTTGATGCTCCAATAATTCTACCAATCAATCCCTAAAGTCTTCTTCATCTTTAATCTCAGCCGAAAGTTTCAACAAAACTCGGAAGTTGTCGATCATTATTCATTATTTGCAATTTTTTATTATTTTCTTCTCTTCTTGATTTTCGTACCTTCAATAAGACGTTCACATTCCATTGACGTACGAAAATAAAGGAATTTTTTAATGATTACTCTTACAAACAAGAGAAAAGAAGAAGTATACTTAAAAATAACAAAAATCATCTTTCAGAAGAATTTTTTCTCTTCTTCGAGCGGAGTGGAAACGGAAATAAGTATCTCATCACAACAAAGCAACAACGAGCAGCCGAAACAATATCCAAAATGAAATGGACCAGTGCAAATTCAAAGAGTGTCTTTTACACTTCAGAGGATTCCAATAGCATTATCTCGAGTACCAAGGTATGTTAATTGATCTCATTAATTACAATCATGTGAACATGAAGTGGACGATGAAGAATAAGCGCATTTACTTTAATGTTGATGATTTATTACACGCTACTTCTTCCTTCTCTTCAAAAATAACTGACTATTGGATTAAGAAAGTGAATAATGGATAAATTAAAAGGAAATAATCCTTTACGGTCAATTTAATATCTAGCAGAAATTAAAACTTTTATTTATGGCATAATTGAGTGATAAAAATATTATTAGACTGACCACAAGAAAAAAAGATCTTTTATTTTTATTGGGAAATCGAAATTTATTGCCCATAGTTTTAAGCCCTTCAAACTTCCACTTCGAAAAGTTTTTCCTGCATTATTCAACTCAGACGAGCTTATAAACATTACATATTCACAGTTATTAATCCAAAAATATGGCAAGCATATAAAGCAAAACGTTGCTTAACATTATTGTTTACTGTTTGTGACTTATGACTCATTCAGTCTAGTCAATCAGTCAAAATAAATGCAAAGCTGCATTTAATACGAAAAATATCTTAAGAGTACTTAATTGATTGTAATTTAATCCTTTCCTAATTGCTTTTCATTTATTGCGCATTTGTATACATTATGAATGCTGCTGTTGTTAATTTTAAAGGTTATTTATAAATGACGTTCTCTTAAATTGAGCTTTTACATCCACATACAATTATATCACAATATTTTCATACAGAAAAGCATCTTCCATGTCCAGACTTCTCTTTCTAACACTTAATCATTGACATCAAGACTGATTAACCCCATATAATCGACAAATGGGATAGCAGCGTTTTCTGCCTAAATTTTAAGCACGATATTCATTAACACTACTTCTACAAATATTTGTATGCTAACAGCTTAAAATAATAATCTACATTTTCCGTGCTAAAATTCATCCAAACAGTTTTACACGTTATACATTTCTTTCGTTTAAAATCTTCAAAGAAAAACACCATCAAGTGTCGACCCCTTTATGCATTAGCTCGTTAACTTCTTTTATTTCGTTTCTCATTATTGCAAAGTGGCTCTTTAAACTGACGCTCTATAAAGCACATTGTTAAAAAATATTTATACACAACACGGAAAAAAAGAAAAAAAACGAAATCAAAGATTTGCAATTGGATTTAAAGTAAAAGTGAATTATTCGCCAATTTGGGAGTTTATGAATCTCATTTTCATCTGAGGAAACATTACCCCATGTGAGCAGTTTTACTGCCTTTACTTTTATTCATCTTTTTGGGGGTCGTGCAGCGATGACGTCTATGTATATCTAAAAGTCCATAGAATCTTTTTGTTGTGTATGAAAATGTTGAAGCAGCTGAAAAGATTAAGTTCATAAATCATCATATGCTCACGTCATTAACGTACAACTCGAGTTTATTTGGACTTCTTTCGAAAAACACAAAATAAAAAATTCAGACATCAACATTATGCAAACATAACAGTTGCAAAAAAAAAGTATACATTTCTGCTACGTCCAATTACCGAATGGAAAATGATATGAATTTTACGTGTGATGACGATCATGGTGGCGGAAAAATAGCGGTTTTATGTTAATTCTTGATATCACATGTATATGAAGCGAAAAAGACTCATGGAGTAAGAAGTTTAATGACTTTTTGACGATGACGATGATGATGACACGGAAGGAAAGACAACGGGAAAGAATTAGCGTATTAGAAAGGTTCTACAAGCGTTTAACTTCTACTTAGGCTAGTAAATGAGTCACAGTCATGCATGGATGACTAAAGTGCATTTTCTAAGACAATTGCAATAAATTGTCTGTACTGCAATTCTGCATTGTTGAGTTGCAAATGATTCAATGATTTTATAACCTTCGTACTATAAATTGAGCTGAATCAGCATTGTAATTGTGAAAAACATTAAAAAATAACGGTTTTTTAAGATTTAAAAAACACTATCGAATTTTTCCAATTCAAAAAGTTTTTTGAGAATTTTTCAAGCTAGGATAGGATAGGACAGGGGCGTAGCCAGAAAATTTTTAAGGGGGGGGGCCCATTTTCGAAAATTAAAAAACCGTTATTTTGTATCCTTAAATCTATATTCATTCTTCATAAGTTTAAATATTTAATTCATTGTTCATACATTAAATTTAATTTTTCGTGCTGATTTTGACATTTTTTTCATCACTTCCTCTACATTAACTGGTTCTTCTCTATAAATACTTAATAAAACAATTATCAGATTTTCGTAGGGGGGGCCCGGGCCCCCTATGGCCCCCCCCTGGCTACGCCCCTGGGATAGGATGTTATATTATGAATCCATAAGGCTTAAAAAAGTGGCAAAACATTACCAACGAGAACATTTAAGCTCAAAGTTAATAAATTTTAAACTTATGTACATTTTAAATTTTATTACTGGACTAAACGAACCATAGAGTTCCATCTCGTAAAAGATGATGCACAAAAGTCCATAAAATCTAAAATATGCGAAAACAAAATTCCAACAAGCCATCAATAAAATTCTAAAAACAACAGGTGACGCTAATCTAGTTTTAATTCCAAAATGTTTCCTTCTGAAAATAACCAAAAATGTCCACAACAAGAAAATAATCCAACAATCCGTGTAATTTCAGATGAATTGAAATGTCACGGAAATCCTAATATTGATGTTATAGAAATAAATTTCAATTACGCAAATCTAACGTGTGAGCATTTTTGCATACAACAAATAAAAGCACTGAGCAGCTACTTTCTTTTTCCTACAATTTCTTTCTTTGTGTTAAGAAGTTAGCGCTTGACTAATAAACGAGTTTTCTTCGCCTTCATCGTTTATTTTGATTCCGGTGAATAGACGAAAAAAAAAAAATATAAAAATGATACATAGTGCTATATGTGATAAAAATCTTTGTGGTTTGTGGGCATTTTTGCACCCATTCGAAAAATAATAAAAGCAGTTGAAGTAAAATAAAGCGATTTAACAATGGCGATAGCAATCATAGATTGTCTTGATTGTAACAAGGAACTGGGAAGAGAAATATAAATGGATGTAATACAATAAAGACAGCATAATGGGAGAAAAAAAAGAAACTTCAATTGTGATGCTTAAGTCCGACGTTGATCTCTATGTCTCCTCTCGAAATGACTTTTGGAGCTTAAAGTGTAATTCACATAATAAAAAAAATGTTTTTGAAAAAAATTAGTAAAAACTTTGTGTCTTAGGCGCATTTTTTGGGGTTTGATGAAGATAATTACTTTTTTTGTAAGAAAAAAGAGGAAAAATCAGTTGTAAAAATGCATTTTAATTTCTAGGTTTCGAATTTTTGAGTATTAATCTTACGGTTATTAATTCAATGAGATTTTGAATTTACAGATGACAATTTGCTTATAAGTATTAATTATTTCTCAACCTACTAATATCTCTTGACTTTGTATCTGGTTTCCAAGACACAGAACACCACCAAAATGCAGTTCTAAACTTCAAATGATACAAAATCCGAGCAACTCGACCATTGTTGCTATGAAAGCTAAGCCATAAAAACTTCAATTTATATTTTTTTCAATCAGAATTAAAGCTCCATCAGTCAGTTAGTCAGCCGGCACACCTTCAATTTGTTACATTTATTTTTAATATATATTATTGCAGCACCAGCAACAGTAATAGCAACAAAAAACAGTTTGAAATATGCTTGTAGATCGCAAATAAAGCGGCGCTCTCTAGTAAAGTTCCTTGAATCAAGCTAGCAGCGAATGACCTTCTTAAAAATCTGTAGCACTCCGTAAAAAAAAGACTCTAATTATAATAGATTTATTCATTCTCTCGCGCTCTCCGTCTGATGCTTATTTGTGATACTTTTTTTTCTGTTGAAAAATGTGATTGAATTAATTTTTAACTTTTGGGCGAGTCATATCATGTGTAAACGCGTTCGTACTCATAAAGTATTGCACATAATTTTCCTTTTGATATAGCAAACGACTTGTTTTGCCACATATGAAGGCGAATAAGAGTGCCAGCACAACTGATTAACTGCTTGTGACTTGCTTTTTTTATTTTAAAATGGTAGCAAATTATTCTTTATCATTCGTACAAGACTTGAAATGGAACGAAAAATGAGCATAAATACCCTCATTGAAATGCGCATTGTTACAATTCCTCACGCCAATAAGCAACAAGTCAACTGAATTAATAGCTCGTGAATTAACCATTTACGTTGAGTTTTTTTTGAAGTAATTTTTCACCCAGAACTTTCTTGAGCGAAGCATATTATTTTATTATTTTTACTGTAACAGTGGCGAAGCTAGGGGAGCACAGCTTAGGCTATAATGACGTAAGATACTCGAAATTGTAAAACCAGCCATTTAACATGAGTAATAATGATAATATAATGACATCCAAAGCCCTTACTTCACGACTGTACTATAATATTCTATGTGTAATTTTTTAAGCACTTACAATGTTATGCCAACGCAAAATGTGCCTTACTTAATGAAGGCATGGAATTCATTCAAATGTTCTGGTCTTATGGTAAAGAATGCTGCTGTAGTTAATGCGGTTGTTTAAATGAGAACGAAAAATATATAATTTTAGAACGGAAAAAAAGTTAATAAAGCAGCTGGTGTAGGTGGAAGACTGAAGTGCCTTTTTGCTCAAGATGATTTCAGTTAATGAGCTTGAATTACTGCAAGTGGCTTACTTTATTCTAATTCAAGAGGACTAAATTGCAACTGGAAATTACAACTTGTAAACTTCTGTAGTGTAGATGTCAGATTTGATAATTTATGGCATTTTTAAAGATTTATAAGTTGGACTTATTTTCAACTTGTTCTGTTGCTTTGTAGGAAAACTTGCTTTGATGTTGCGTATCATGTTCATTTTTCATCATGACACAGATTCGTTAAATTTCCTGAAAAACGCTACAAAAACTTGTGTTTTGATAGATCTAAAGGTTTGTAGATATTTTGAGTACGGAAGCAAGCTGCTCTAATTTTAGGGCATGACAGTATGTTACAATTTTTTGTT